CAGCAAGTTTTGTAAGGGAGTATACTGATGTTAGTTACGTTGCTGGAGAAGGTGTGGAGTTAAACTATACATAAGGCATTACCTATTCAAAACCCGTTCTCTGTATATCTCGTTTCATGCTAGAATAATTTGAAATTGACGTCTAAAATTCATCCCACATCCTGTGTAATGTAGCGCTAGGAAAGTCAACATGTTGTCACCTGAAGTTTCAGTAAACCTTAAAAAAGGAAAGGCTCATTACAGCACACAGTTTACAAGGTTGCCGACTTCATCTATGAGAATCTGTTGATTGCACAAGAAACAAGACAGTGTCCCTTGTCCGCATTATACCATTTTTTTTAGAGTTATTAAAATTACCCCCAGCAAAGTGGCAGCCCACCCTCACAGGTAATAAACGACCGGCCCCTTTAATAGTATCACACTATTGTATTTTTGTTTACAAAAATTCAGAGGCAGCTTACCGACACGTTGCAAAAAGAAGCAAGTAACGACTTCTTTTTTGGTTTGAAATTACTACACTAAAAAGTGATACGAAGATGCCATTTGAACGAGTTACATAATTATCTAATTACCTGAGGTACCTCAAAACTAGCAGGGGTTATAAAAACAAATCTAGAGGCCTGAATATAAGTCGTCTTATCAAGCATTTTCGTTTTTTGTTTTCACCACGTCAAAGTGAATTTCACTGTCCGTCTGTTTGAGAAGGATTTTCTGCATTGTGTATTTTTTAAGTATTTTTTCCGTAACCATTCCGCACTTTTAGACAGTCAGTGCTAACAAGCACTAATTTTGCTAACTGAAAAGTCTCTCGAAAAGTTTTCGGGATCCTCATTAAGCACCCGATAATTATCGGAGTTAAAATTACGTGCTCATTTTGGGGCCCCAAAAATCGTTGCGTTTTAGAGAACACATGAAAACGTTTACGGGAAACTTTCGAGAGACTTTTTGGGTGAGAAAGAAAAGTTTTCCGGGGACTTTCGAGAAACGAACGCAAGCTTCCTCGTAGCCGAAAAAACTAAACTCTGACTGTCATTCCTAACCAGTTAGCAGGACGCGCTGAGTGCTTTTGACCGTAACGTTGTATTGCTTTCTATGCCTGCCGGCGTTTTGGTAGATGTACTGACCGGTACTTTTCTCCCAGCACCAGTGCTGCATGTACAAGTACGCTGTATATGTTAGAGATTTTGGCTTGACGACTTATTTTTAAGATTTTTAACTCCATGACGATTCGTGAGAGCGGAAAAAAGCGATTTGAGTTATACTTTGATTTTTTTTTTACCTAGTGTAGATAGATAACTTTATTTAAACACGGTTAAAATTCCTTCAGCATGTAAGAAAAATCTAAGATCTATTATACCTAACTAAACTAACTCTGATTAAGAATATATTCATTAAGTTTTAACTACCTAGCTATTTACAAACAAAAGCTGCTTTTCAAGGATGCCGTGTAAAACTGTATTAATGTATGATCTCATTCAAAACTGTTGCGACACAGTTTGCGTTTAAAATCATGTAAAGAATCTGCGGATCTTAAATCATGGGATAGGCTGTTCGACAGCTTAGCTCCGCTATAGGAGAAACTTTTCTTTAAATAATTGGTACGGGGCAGTGGAAGGACTAATTTATTTTCAGTATTCCTCAGTCGATAAGAAGTTATTTCGTCACAAGATACAAATTTAGATGTGAGATGGTCGGGAGTCATCCCATGTACGGTTTTATACATCATAATAGCCGTCGATACTTGTATTTGGTGTTTAAGCTTAAGCCAACCCAGTGCCAGGAACAAATCGTCCACATTACAATCAGAATTAGCGGACATTAGAATACGGGCTGCACGATTTTGGAGCCTCTGCAGCTTATCGGAAAGACCAATGCCGCAGTTACTCCATACGACATTACAGTAATCAAAATGCGGTTGAATTAAACTGTCGTAAACATTAATTAATACATTAAAAGGAATAAGATATCGTATTCTTTTAATTGCACCCAAAGCAGAAGCAATCTTTTTACAAATACTCTGTATGTTCCCAGCTTAAGTTTTGGTCAATATGCACTCCAAGAGATTTTGCCGTTGACACTTGCATCACGGGATGGTCGTTTATCATAAAAGAAGGAGTTTCAGAAAGCTTTGATAGCTTCTGCCTCGACCCAACTAACATATACTTAGTTTTAGTCAAGTTAAGGGTCAGTTTGTTAGCCGATAGCCATATATACACCTTGTTTAAATCGTCGTTAACGCAGTGTGGTATTTGTTCAAGCTCTGTAACCTTTATTCGTACTTTGGTCCATTGCGGTCTGCGGTTGATTTGTGGCCCAAGTAAACACGTGAAAACAATCCAAAACTTAAGATATTGAGCATTAATAACGGCTTAATTATCAATTAATCACAAAAAAGATTTTAAGTGGACTGTCGCCACTGTTTTTACGAAACTTTTTGGAACGACCTCATAGACTAAAATAATGAATCCGGGAAAACAACGAATGCCAAAGAAGCTTCCATCGTTTATTACAGTCCAACCATCTCAGCCTGCAACAGCCCGTACTTCCCTTTAGGCTGTTAGGCAAGCTGGAAGCTTTACATATTTACACGGAAATGAACGAACTTTTCAAATTAATGTTAATTCAATTAACCAGGATGTTTTCCATAGCAAGCTATATAATAATAATGCACTTTTCTTTCTTTTTCCCCATATCAGCAGTTGAAACGTGTATTTAAGCATGTACTCTATCTCATAGAATCTATAATTATAACATTTGATTTCGAAGAGATAAATGTTTTAATTGAGGAACCGTTCAACCTTGCAGGCGAGTGTAAAAAACGATGAAATGTTACAATAAAATGGTTTTCACAGTGACGTCAAGAAATTTTCAAGTCACAATAGCGAGGTTTTTGCGAATTCTTATTTACACTAGGTTGAAGACAAACAAAAAGTAAATCTTTGTACAAGTTTCCATTCCCGTAGCATGTTTCGTTTTGAAAATACAGCAACTTGAACTTCCGAGTTTTCATAACCTGCGAGCAAGCTCTCCTCTTTGGGCGAGCAAAGCGAGTCTCGCGAGAACGACTGTATTAATTCCTGTGTTATCATTCCTAACTAGTTAGCAGGACGCGCTGAGTGCTTTTGACCGTAACGTTGTATTGCTTTCTATGCCTGCCGGCGTTTTGGTAGATGTACTGACCGGTACTTTTCTCAATCATTATTTATTAAGGATGCAAAAAATCGTAGAAATCGGTTGAATCTTTCATTCTGAAAAACGCGAATCAAAAACATAACCAACACGCATAAAAATAGGAACGGGCCACCTTAATTGACGAACCGTTCAACCTTGAAGGCGAGTGTAATAAACAAGGAAATTTTACAATAGGTCTATATAAAGATACGGTGAATCTTTTATGACAATAATAGCTTATTGCCGTGTTACTGGTGGGTTATAGACCATTTCACGGTTTATGACGCCATCTTGGCTGGGGGGCAAACACGAGTAAATTACGGTGAATGTATGGGATTTTGGCCCACTTGGAACCACTATAACTCCGCTACATTAAGAGGCGGATTTCCAACATTTGCCACTACTTTAAATAGTTTGATTGATGTCATTCATTCAACAGAAGATGAGGCTATTAAAGATGGCACGACGTCGGCAAATTCGAATTATAAATCTTCTCACGTGGCTTCGAATTTCATGGTAATTTGCATAATGTTGATTAGAGGGGTTTGTATGAAATCTTAAAAATTCCTTAACGGTGGTTATAACCTGAATCTCTTCTTCTTTGAGTTATACTTTGTTTATTTACAAAAGTTATCTGCCTTTGTCCGTAAAATCATTTCACCAATTTATCTCCTAATCCCCGAGCCATTCTGGAATAATTCATCAAATTCTTTACGGAAATTTGCATAAAGGGCGCTAGTTGTTCAGGCTCACGGATTTGCTGTGTTGCTGTCTGCTTTGAATAATTCCAGTAGTGGAACGGTAACAATTTTCTTAGACCTCTTTTTACATCCCAGAGTTTATACGAGAATACAATTTGTTGTTCTGGTCGCAAAGAACAAGTGCAGCCGATCAGGGAAGCTGTTTAATAAATTCTGTATAGAAGCAATCACATAGCATTGCTGATTCCGAAAGGTAAATGTCTCTAGCGGATTTGATTTCGAAAAAAAGTGATTTTAACCAACATTGCAGATGAGTGTAATAGACAAATGTTAGATTAGTTCTGCATTTGGATGTAGTTTGCCTACGAACCGGTAGTTTCTTAGGAAATTATGATAGCTTACTGATTGTCGTGCTTCTGGTTTATTCAAAGACCATCACAAGGCGGTGATACAATGTTTAAAAAATCAGCTGTAGCACATTTAAACGCCGTATTTTTCATGAGCCGAACCTAATTCGAATTAAGGCCAACCCAGATTATTTATTGGTTCAGACGCTGATCTTAATTCTAGCCGAACCAAATTCAGAAGGAGAACAGTTCTCATATCGTTATTAGAGACCTTTAGCATCAGGTTTTTCCTGGAAAACCGCAAACTGGAGTTTACCGTTACGCGTTTAAAGTGTCACGTTGCAAAGATTTCAAATTTTAGCAAGACGTTCATTATTTTGTTGCTTAGTGCCGCCATATTTTTTTTCATCAAGTCGAAGTGCATCACTTTTATCGCCCAAAAGACAGGAATAAATCATTGATTCGAGTTCAAAAATCCAACATACACATATAAAAAGCTATTTCGTGCCTTTAAACGCGAGGCTGTACAGTTTTTAGTGGCAAAAAAACCTTGCCGTAAGTCACTTACCGCTGGAAGAGCTTCCTGCCGTTCAAGCGTGATCTGCGAACTGCCAACGCCACCATAAGGCCGTGGTCACGTGACATTTTGCGGTTTGTTTCCGAGGGAAAGAGTCTCGTCCTAACGCGAACCTAGGATGTCTAACCCTCACAAAAGGTCGGCTAATTCAAGTTAAACAAGTGTTCATATACTAAGTTAGCTACTTATTTGAACCTCAAGCAGTTCGGCTACAACAAGCTTATTCCACGGTCTCACGATCGCGTTTGCAGCTTGCAGTTCGCGTTTGAACGGCACGAAGGGCCTCCAGCGGTAAGTGACTTAAGGTAAGGTTTTTTGCCACTAAAAATTGTACAGCCTCGCGTTTAAAGGCACGAAATGGCTTGTTATATCCGTCTGGGATGTGTTTATTGGATTTTTGAACTCAAATCATCGAATTATTCCTGGTTTTCGGGCGATAAAAGTGATGTACTTCGACTTGATGAAAAAAAAAGATGGCGGCACTAAACAACAAATGAACGCATAACTAAAATTTGAAATCTTAGCAATGTGATATGAATTTGGTTCCAGTGTCTCAGACTAATGGTTAAGGCCGAATAACCTTCGAAAATAAGAGGGGTTGAAAAATACGATTTAAGAAATAATAAACCCCTGTCATCAGGCTCCAACTTGAATTAGATATCTTAGGCCCGGTTCAGACGCCGTAATGAGCCTAATACATTGAACCTAATACATTGAATTTCGGCGTCTGAATCAACTAGTAGCGCCTGTTTCAATTTGGAACGTCTCAGCCGTTCTTTCCGCCTAGCCGGGCCGGGAATTTTGCATTTGGATCGACTTTGGGACGCCTTTGATTCAGACGCCGAACTTTTCATGTACTGAACCTAATGCAGATATTCTTGTAACATATTTTATTAGCAGTTTGACCGAATTGAGAATTGTTCTCCTGTCTGAATTTGGTTCGGCTAGAACTAAGATCGGCGTCTGAATCAATTCAGCCGGTCTAAATAATCTGGGTCGGTTTTAATTCGAATTAGGTTCGGCTCATGAAAAATACGGCGTCTAAATGTGCTACTATACAGCCGATTTTTTAAACTCTGTATCACCGCCTTGTGATGGTCTTTGAATAAACCAGAAGCGCGACAATCAGTAAGCTGTCAAAACTTCCTAGGAAACTACCGGTTCGTAGGCAAACTACATCCTAATGTAGAACTAATCTAACATTTGTCTATTACACTCATCTGCAATGTTGGTTAAAATCACTTTTCGGAAACAAATCCGCTAGAGACATTTACCCTTCGGAATCAGCAATGCTATGTGGTTGCTTCGATACAGCATTTATTAAACAGCTTCCCTAATCGGCCGCACTTTTTCTTTGCGACCTGAATAACAAATTGTATAAACGTTTGGATGTAAAAAGAGGTCTAAGAAAATTGTTACCGTTCCACTGCTGGAATTATTCAAAGCAGACAGCAACACAGCAAATCCGTCAGCCTGAACAACTAGCGTCCTTATGCAAATTTCCGTAAAGAATTTGATGCGTAACACCGCAGTTAGCTATTATTTTCATAAAAAAACTGAAGGCTTGCATGGTATAGGGTGTTACCATTCACCATATCTTGATACAGACCTACAGATCGTTTTCACTGTCACGCAACAAAAAAGTAGATTGGAAACCGTCCAGTAGAAGAAGGCAAGAAAAGGAAATGTTATAAAAGACTAATATAAAAACAATTTGTCCAAGTCCCAGGTCTTTGTGGCCCAGAGTTTCTGAGGTATTTGCCGCAACGTTTCACGCATCTTTGCAGAGCATTGTGCGGAGACGCCATATTGGTGTACCGTTTTGGTGCACCAATATGGCCGCCAGAAATCAACAAAAACATCTGGAGTACAGGTAGCACTGGTACTGGAGGAAAGCTCAGCACATCTAACAAAACGCCATCGGGCACAGAAACAATACAACGTTTCGGTCAAAAGCACTCAGCGCGTCCTGCTAACTAGTTAGGAATGACAGTCAGAGTTTAGTTTGTTCCTCGGAATGCAAGATATACGGCTACAAGGAAGCTTGCATTCGTTCGTCGAAAGTCCCCGGAAAACTTTTTTTTTTTTTCACCCAAAAAGTCTCTCCAAAGTTTCCCGTAAAGGTCTTCATGTGTTTTTCTTAAACGCACCGATTTTTTGGACCCGAAAATGAGGACGTAATTTTAACTCCGATAATTCTCGGGTGCTCAATGAGAGATCCTGAAAACTTTTGAGAGACTTTTCAGGCGGCAAAATTAGTCCTTGTGAGCATTGGCTGACTAAAAGTGCGGAAAGCTTACAGAAGTCAGGCTTCACTTTTTAAAAAACACACAATGCAGACAATCCTTCTCAAACAGACGGACAGTGAAATTAACTTTGACGTGGTGGATAACAAAAAAAGATAAGACGACTAATATATTCAGGCTTCTAGATTTGTTTTATAACCCCTACTAGTTTTGAGGTACTTTAGGCAATTACATAATCTCGTTCAAATGGCATGTTCGAATCACTTTTATTGTAGTAATTTTGAACCAAAAAAGAAGACATTATTTTACTCGCTTCTTTCTGCAATGTGTCGGTAAGCTTAAACAGAAGCTAAATTTTTAACAGGCCTCTGAATTTTTGTAAAAATATATGTATGTATGTATATATATATATATATATACTTGTATTCTGGGTAGAACGTATTCCGTAGAGCGCTCAATTCATTTAATTGAAGAGCATTGATTATTAATAATCACAGTAGTTCAGGCTTCAGGAGTAATCATTGATCGTTTATTGCGACAGTGCTGTTTCGTATGGTCCGAAATTGTAGGACCACACTCATCAGGCAACTTCAACGATTGACCGTTAAAATTAAAAGCTGGCAGTAAATATAGGGATGCGTTAAGAGATAGTATCTAGGTAACAGATGGATTGTGTCTTAGTTACGTTACTCTAGAGTTCTGAAGTACATATCTGTTTCTGTGGGGGCATGAACTTGCTAGTTCGTTTCGCCTGTTTAGGCTACAAAGCTCTTTTTTACAAATGATGATTAACAAACCTTTCCAGATAAAATGGAAAGTTTTAAAGAAATGTAAAGCTTATAGCAACATTAGCAAAAAATGTAATCTTTGTCTTTATGAAAAGTTTATCATCATTTGTAAAAAAGAGCTTTGTAGCCTAAACAGGCGAAACGAACTAGCAAGTTCATGCCCCCACAGAAACAGATATGTACTTCAGAACTCTAGAGTAACGTAACTAAGACACAATCCATCTGTTACCTAGATACTATCTCTTAACGCATCCCTATATTTACTGCCAGCTTTTAATTTTAACGGTCAATCGTTGAAGTTGCCTGATGAGTGTGGTCCTACAATTTCGGACCATACGAAACAGCACTGTCGCAATAAACGATCAATGATTACTCCTGAAGCCTGAACTACTGTGATTATTAATATATATATATATATATATATATATATATAGCGCAATAGTGTAATACAATTAAAGGGACTGGTCGTTTATTACCTATGGGGTGTGGGCTGCCATTTTGCTGGAGGTCATTTTAATAACTCTAATGAAAATGCATGGTATAAAGCAATTTCCTCCTTTAAGTGAGTGGTGTTGGTTGATATTGTTTTGCTAAGCCCACTAACCAGCGACTATGTCTTTCTCGGCTCTTGTTTCAGACCCAGCGGGAGAAACAAGAGCCTGTAAACGCGTCGGCTTTCTCAGGCTAGCGAGATCGAGAGCAGACAGATTTGCGTTGTTAATACAGTCGAACCCGTTTTAAGGACACCCGCTTGATACGGACACTCGTTAAATTGGACAAGGGACAATTGTTTGTCAATTTCAGAATATTCTGGCATGAAACGAGATATACAGAGAACGGGTTTTGAATAGCTAATGCCTTATGTATATTTTAATTCCACACTTTCTCCAGCAACGTAACTAACATCAGTACACTCCCTTACAAAACTAGCTGAAAATGCACAATGTCCAAACCGAGAATAATTCATGTACAGCATCGCAACATAAATTATTACATGAAAAACAATAATACGCAATACAAAAACAACTATAAAAACACGTACTCTTGAAACAAAACTAAAGGTTTAGTGATAATAATGCCTATCACAACAGTTACGAAACCACGGTAACTGCGTTTTGCTTCCCCTTGTTGACAATCAATAAACAGCTATTTCAAGAAAGGTTGTCAGGAAAAATGTGCGCGCTAGAATCCCGAAAGGTAATATGGGATATGATCAATACACTGTTCCTAACGACTGCAGCTGTCGAAAATACTTTTGTTGCTTTTCATTAGCACTCGCAAACATATGTCCGTGGAGTGAAGTCGCCATATAACACAGACAACACACGTTTTTCAACAACATATTGATGCCTTCCTGTTCTTCAACAGTTGTCCATTTCATCCCTACTTTGCAATTCACTCGGATCAGAAACATCCAACTCGTCCTAACCTGAGATCAGGCCCAATTTTAGCTGTTCTCATACATTCTCTCTAACGGCTTCCGCTAAAATTAGGCCTGATACAAACTCTCTCACAAGTTTGTGTTCACTGCGGCAACACTGATTGGCTGTTAGAACAATGCCACAAGATCTGATTGGCTGTTAGAATCAACGGAAGTTGAAAGCGCTTTTTCCTCGAGTGGTTGTTTTCGTGAATGATCCACCATCGGTGGAGAGAAGGATCGATTTTGCTGTATTTTTTTATTGTTTTATGGTCTCAAGCCAGGATATGCACTATTATTTTTTTCCAAGCTTGCAAGTGGGCGGAATCGTTGGCAGCTTCATTTACAAGTTTGTTTGTTGTTTGTGAATGAGCAAAACCCGTCATTTTCAAACCAGTTTTCTTTTAAAACCTGCGCTATTATTAGTATTAGCTACGGAAATTGCTACATTTTTTTTTTTTGTATTTTATTTATTTATTTTCTTTTTACAGGTATAGTACAAACAACATAAAGATCGAAAAATACAAACATTACAAAATTTACAACAACTACCTTAATTACAAAAAAAAAAAAAAATAGAAAATAGAATAAATAAATAAAAAGCTACACTGCACTACACTACAAGGCTTACATAACTTATTCGACTTGAACTTAAAATACAGAGTAATACAGGGAGTATTAGAAAAACGAAGTTTGGATAACAGCTACTGTTGTATTAATGGGAGTAACGGCTTCCATTTTTTATCATGGAAATGGATTTTGTTGTTTCTTTTCGCGATAAAACGTTCGGTTTGAAACGTTTTTTTAAATTTATCGACTAACAGTCTTACACATAAACAGCCCTTATTTAACTTACAGCGGTAAATAAAATATTTGCTTTCAAGAATGATGTAATTGACTAGAATGCTTATATTATCTGTATCTAGGATCCCAAAAAGGACATTCATGATATCAAATCTAATAGTTATATTAAAAGAATCAAGTACAGACTTTAAATCATTCCAAAACATGCTTACTTTTGTACAATGGAAAAGAGATGTTCTATGGTCTCCAACTCCTTTTCACAAAAAATCGCACAAGGGAGAATCTACTTTTTTGAACTTAAACAGCATCTTGTTCGTGTATAAGATCCTGTTTAATATTTTATATTGGAATTCTCTTAATTTAGTATCCAATGTTGTTTTGAAGGGCAGTAGATATATCTTTTCCCAGTCCAACTGAAATGTGTGTATGCTGAAAGCTTCGTTATATTTCTTTTTTGCGCTGTTGGTATACTGGATATCTTAGAAACAAAACTGTCATATAATGACTTTGATTTAAGATTTTGAAATTGACTTTTTCCCTTCAATACGTAACTTGAAATCAGTTTGGATTAGATCATGAGCTTTTGAAGAGATAGAGTTTTTATTTGTTTTTAATATTTTGCGCCATTCTTCAGGAAAAGCATTGAAGAGACTGAAAAGTAGAAAATGTTCAACTGGTGAGAGAGTTGAATATAATGGTTCCTTGTTCGACTTGAAACCTCCCCACGTGTCGTAGAGGTCTCCAATTTTACAATTCCAAGATCAATCAGCCTACTGTTATAGACTGACTTTGATTCAATACAAATAAACTGGTTGTTCCATATGACCTGATTTGCTATTTCAGAGGATGAGGAGGGGTTGTCTTCATTTAAAAGGGTCCACGCCACAATGCATTCTTTGTAAAATTCTGGAAGAGTTACCGGTAGTTTAGTGTAGTTAAAATTGCAATGAAACAAGAATTTTCCCCTACTTTCTTAAGATAAAAATCCAGAAAAAACTTCCAGCCAGCGGGGTCAATGGAGAGATATCTCTTAATACAAATTATTCTTTGGGCAGAGATCATGGACTCAATGTTAGGCATTTTCAAGCCTCCTTTATCAATAGGGTTAATAAAAGCTCTGCGCTTTTTACTTTATCTTTTCCTTCCAAACAAAGGAATATAGCAAAGTATTTATTTTTTTGATAAACTCTTCTTTATTTGAAATGAGAACAACCCTGTATAAAATCTTTGGTATGGCGAAAGACTTGATCACTTGAATTTTTCCAAGTAGTGTAAGACCTCTCCAGCTCCAGCTCTTCAGCAATCCCTCAGAGATTTCTCGATTGATTCAAAGTTAAGCTTATAAAACAGTGCGTGATTAAAGGTGAAATGAACCCCTAGGATCTTTATGGCCTTACTTATTTCATTAACACCTAGTTCTGAGCTGTTTACTTCCATACTTCCTAGTAGAAGAATTTCCGTTTTGTCGTGATTGACCTTCAATCCGGAGTATGTACTAAACAGATCGATAGTATCAAAAAGGGTGCGATGCGAAAATTTGTCCCTAACAAATGATGTCATATCGTCAGCGAATATAACTAATTTGATTTCGGAACCATCCACCTCAATACCCTTAATTTGATCGTTATTACGTATGGATAATGCCAATAATTCAAGTACTATTATGAAAAGAGATGGCGAGAGTGGGTCGCCCTGGCGAACACCCCGTTTAACATTGAAAGAGGGGGTGGAAAAACCATTATTGAAAACACAACTTGATATATTATTATAAAACGTCTTGATCCACCCCAAGAAGGATTCTCCAAAGCCAAAGAACTCTAGCGATTTGTGGAGGAAGTTCCAATTTAGAGAATCGAAGGCTTTCTCAAAATCAATTGCAGTCATTATACCTTGGTAGTCTCGCATTTTAGTAAATTCCAACACATCGGTTATCGTACGAGTTGCATCAAAAAATTGTTCGTCCTTTTACAAAGGCATTCTGGTCATAATGGATAATATGTGGTAGGACATTTTCTAGCCTTTTAGCGATAGCTTTTGAGCCAATTTTAACATCAACATTTACCAGGGAAATCGGTCTCCAGTTTTTTGTCCATCTCCTATCTTTGTCCTTTTTCTCAATTAAAGTTATTACGGCTTGCTTTTGCGAATGTGATAATTCACCATGAAAATACGCATAATTTAATGAGTCTACTAGAAATGTTCCGATTTCTGACCAGAAGAACTTGTAAAATTCTATAGTGAGGCCATCGTTTCCAGGAGTTTTATCGTTACTAAAGGTAGACAGAACCTTGAAACATTCGGAATATGTTAATTGACCCTCGCACGTTTCCCGCATTGAGTCGGTTAACTTAGGAGATGAGAGGGTATCTTCCAGAAAAGGACAAATCGAATAGTCAGTTTGTATTCCCTTTTCGTCATAAAGTTCAGAATAAAAACTGTGAATTTCAGTCATAATAGTGTCCGGAACAGTAGTCTCTTCTCCATTTGCTCGAATAAGTTTTCGTATGCAGCTTTTTTCTTATTTCTGTTTTCCAGGTTTAGAAAATACTTGTTGTTTCTTTCCCTTGTTCAAACCATGTAGCGCGGGAACGAATGATTGAGCCTCTTACAATGTAATCATACTCTTGTTCGTATTCTGTTTTGACCGATTCGAGGTTGGCAAGGTTTTCTTGCGTCGGTGATTCTGCTATTTTTTCCTCACATATTTTAAGCCTGTTTTCAATTGTTTGAATTCTATTTCTCCTTTCTTTAGCTTTCAGTTTGCTATACGATATACTTTCCCCGCGAATTTTGTATTTCATCCAGTCCCATTTAATTCTCGAATCATCACAAAATTAATTTCGTCTATCCACTTAGGAAAGTTCTCGCGTAAACGCTCAACGAAAAAGCGTCATCCAAGAGACTGTTATTGAACTTCCAAAAAGATGGGCCACGCTGCTGATCATTTAGACTGTCAATTTCTAAAGTTATTGCATGGTGATCCGTTCTTATAGCTGTCACTATGTCGACTTTAGCTACGTCATCTTGTAATAGGTCACTAATGAGCCAATAATCAAGGCGTCTTTGAATAATTGGGTTTTTTTGTCTCCAAGAAAATTTCTTGCTATTAGGATTACGGATTCTCCAGATGTCAACTAAATCATAATTCAGCATAATGTCCTCCACACACTTAACTGAGTCTTTTAACACAGGGTTTCCACCCGAACAATCTAGGTCTGGGTCCATAGTTACGTTCCAATCCCCTCCTAATATAATTTTGTAGTCAAAATCATTTTATCCCTCATCATAGATAAGCTCAGACAATGTTTGGAAGAATAACGATTGCTTAGTGGTGGTATTGGGAGCGTAAATATTTATCAGAAGGAATGGAACATCTTGAATAGTTGTCTCTAAAATGAGGTACCTCCCATCCTCATCCGATCGAATTGATTTCAATTTGAAGTCAAAGGATTTACGTATAAGGATGGCGACCCCACGACTATGGTTAGAGCCATGAGCGAAGTAAATGTCCCCGGACCACTGCTTTTTCCATTGATTTTCAATCTCTTCAGTGCTGTAAGTTTCCTGCAGAAAGCAGATGTCTGAATTTTGCTTGTATAGCCAGTTGAAAATGGACTTACGTTTTTCAAAAGAACGGATACCCCGAACGTTCAGCGAAAGAGTTTTAAACTTTAAGTTGTTGAAATCCATTGAAATTTGCATACGTGGAGTGGAAAAAAGACAACAACAGTAGCTGTTATTCCCAGAAGGGTCACTATTACTCGAACAATTAACGCATTCCTGATTTTGTCAAGTGCAAACTGAATAAATATAGAATAACATACATAACAAAACAAAAGAAACGAGATGAAAAACGTAGCCAGTGTAAAGAATTAAACTGTTGAAGCTACGCTTGGACGAGATCAAGTGTTATACTTTTGTTTAAATCGAACTTCAGAAGAGAACTAAGGAATATGCTAATCGATAGCTCCCAATAGAAACGAAAAAAATAAGAAGTGAACTACTTCCTGCGAATTCTAAAAATAAATAACCTGGAACCTATTTATTTATGATTTTACCTCCACACCGTCAATAAAGAGTTTATAGGGTTCCGTTCTACTGAAGGCTGCCCGTTTTCCATCTTTTCTTGCTTGTACCATCTTCGGAATAAGCCTCTTCCTCATATCAATCACCTGCTTAGGTAGATCTGGGCCAATACCGAAATTCGACTGGCTATCGATGTTGCGTCGGCTAGAAAAGAGGTTTTCTCGATCTTTAAAGCGAAGACAGCGTGCTATGATGGCCCTGGGTTTTTTTTGTGTTTCGGTCTTTTTACCGACGCGGTGGACTCTTTGGAACTCAATAGATTGGGCGTTTTCCACATTTAACTCTTTCTCCAAGAAAGCTTTCAAAACGGGTTCAGTATTCTCTTCCCCTTCGATTTCTGGAATGCCGTAGAAACGAAGATTTTCGCGGCGGCTGTACACTTCATAATTTAAGAGTTGGAGACGCAAGTGATCCAACTCCTGTCGTGACTTCTCTTCGTCATCTCGGAGTTTTCTCTTACTGGTTTCCACTTCATCATTCAGGAATTTTATGCTTGTTTTAAGCGTATTTGTTTCTTCGACTGTATTTCGTACGTCTTCCTTTAAGCGGTGGAATTCGCTTTGAAGGTTTGCGACCGTTTGATTTATTCGATCCACAGAGTCCTGTAAAACATTTATTTGTGTGCCGATATTCTCCAGTTGACTTAACTTTGATAATATTAGGTCCACTTTGGAGGCGAAATCTTGTGCCATATTGAGGGCAGACAGAACTACGTCTTCAGAATCGTTCTTCGACTTTGGTGGCGATACAATGGCGGGTGGAGCGTTCGCTTGGTCTTCTTTCACACTCTCTTTCAACCGCTTCGTTTCGGGGGAAACGGTCTCGCTGGTCGGTGAATTACTCCCTCTCGTTTTCCGTTTAAACAGAGATGAAAGTGGCGATGAAAATTCCATAAAAAATATCAGAACGCATGGAAGAGTACAACAAAAGTTACGGAGCTAACAATCACACGTCCTTACTCAGTCATGCTCAGTCCCAGTCCCCTCGAAAATTGCTACATGATGCAAAGTCGTTTCAAGAATCTCACGCTTTTAAATATTGCTGGTCAAAAGATTCAACGATCCTCCTCCGCAAGACCGACAATTCTCGAATTTACAAGCTGCGAAACTTGGAAGATCTAGAAGAACTTCTTCTAAGCCTCAACCGTCCCATAGAAGAATAATAATAAGTAATATTATGCTCTTCGCTATAACACTTGAAAATCTATAATGGCAGGTGAAAAGAAAATTACTACAAGCAAACGTGAAATCTCTGAGCGAAAAATTTTACTCAAAGAATTGCCTTATTATAATAATACAGGAAGTCTTATAATGCTTTATGGCCAGTTTAATAATAGTCTACTGGACAAACACCAGCCAACAAAATATGAGTTAAAAATTTGCCTAGCCTCTATGATATTAATTTATTTGACCTTAATACTATATTAGATTCAAACATTAGCCCTTATGAAAACTTACACAACAATCAAATAAAAAGTAGAAATTTTTCTCCTCATGCTTTTCACCACGCCAAATCCACATGGCCAGATAATTGCTTTTCTTTATTTCATAATAACATAACTAGCTTGAATCAGAACCTAGAAAATTTACAAACATATTTTAGAAGAAACTGATTTTCACTTCGATGTTATAGGAATCCCTGAGACGAAAATTACCAATGCAAATTTAGAAACTTCATCATTTAATATTCGGGGATATAGATTTGAATTCGTGCCGACGCCTCTATAGCCTTTGGAGGCGTTGGTCTTTTCATAGAAAAACAATATAACTACCGCGTTATTTAAAAAACTGCTCAGAAATAATGAATTCCAAGCGTTGTGGATAGAAATATCTTTTGTCAAGAAAAAAAAATTATATCTGCGCTATTATGTATAGGCAGCACAACAATCCAGATCGTTTCTTGCAATATTTTGAAGAATCAGTTGAAAAATATTCGGCCACAGGAAAGCAACTTTGTATCCTAGGAGACTATAACCTCGATCTTTTGAAAATTTAAAACTCAAAATATAGTCATGACTTTCTAATGTGCCTTCAAAGCTGCTATCTCATTCAAACAATTGAGTTCTCCACTAATAATTCTATTCTAAGAGCTCCGTCCTATCCTAAACCAATTTTTGCTCGTTTCAGTCATTATCAGGACAAAGATTATGTTCTTTCCTTACGTAAGAACTTAAAAGGAACCAGCATCGGTTTCTCAGATGATTTCCCGAAAGAAATTGAAGAAATTCGTAGGAAACTTTATCCAGTGCTTTAAAAGGTCCAGCAGGATAAGCAAAAAGCCTTCTTTAATTTTGATAAATTGATTATCAACGGCCAAATATACAGAGGAAAAGAAATTAAAGACCTTCCCTATTATTGTAAAATGGCAAAAAAATTATTGATGGTCTAACTCCATGATCGGTTTCAAACTGAACAGTGAATCCATGTCCACTAGATGTTAAGAGTGGTTGCCAGAGAAAACCGGCAAAATGTTAAAAAATTCAACGGAAGGGGGTCAACAGAATAAGTTCCTACTAACATCACAGATAGGTCTGGTAGAGTAATGGACAAATATACCAAACATAGGTTCTTCACTGTTCTTTTATTAGAGATACGAGCATCACTTTATTCGACCCCCTCGGACGCCATTTTTATAAGCTAATTTTCACCATTTTCTGAAACTCACAGAACCCTCAAAATTTAACGAACGAAGTTTATTTCTTGTATGCGAAACAAGACATCACAGAACTACTTTCTAAAACCATAAGATTTGTTTAGTAGCCAAGGACAAGATTAAAATTTTCTTATTTTATCTGACCTAAACCCAGTGTCTGCAAACGAGCAAAACATTGGGCATTTTTGAATTGATCTACAGCGCACAACTAAAACGACAGAACAACTCTCACAGCCAAATTGCAGTCTACTATCATCCATGTAACCAAAACACTAATAATCATTTTGGGCCATTGAAACAGGAAGAAATTAGAAAAATCAAATTTGTTATAGTTTCCAAGCTTTTTCTTGCAAACAGGCCAATCCCTTCGTGTTTGTTTTAAGTCCTCTTCGTGAATTTTCTTTCATATTTCGCTGTAAAGTATGTTCAGCAGCTGGAGGACATATCAAAAAGCTCAAAATACTACCTAGGTTACATTTCACATTTCTATTGTTTTCCCTACACCACCACCACCACCACCACCACATTTCTATTGTTTTCTTTCCACACCGCCACCGCCACCGCCACATTTCTATTGTTTTCTTTCCACACCACCACCGCCACCGCCACATTTCTATTGTTTCCCTCCTTGAGTTTGGCCTCTTAGGCCTTTTGAGGGAAAACAATAGAAATATGGCGGTGGTGGTGGTGGTGGTGGAAAGAAAACAATAGAAATGTGGTGGTGGTGGTGGAGGGAAAACAATAGAAATATGGTGGTGGTGGTGGTGGAGCGAAAACAGTAGAAATGTGGTGGTGGTGGTGGTGGTGTATAGTTTCACTATTCACGAAGCTGTGTTGAAAAAAGTTGAGTGTGGGGTCGATGTAGGGTCGATAGGAGGTCGAGTATTTGTGGATGGAAAAATATATAGAATAAATGAGGAGGTGGAGGTGGAGGAGGGGAATAAAAAACATTGAGGAGGGAAAATAGTAAAAATTGTAGAGGAGGAAATAAAAACATTGAGGGGGGAAAATAATAAAATTGTGGAGGAGGGAATAAAAAACTGGGGACGGAAATAAAATTGAAAAGGGAGAGGGGTAAGTAAAACATTGTGCGCAGTGTAAAAGAAAAGGATGGCTTGCCTTCTTTGACTATTTTAATAGAATCTTTAATCTAATCTTTTTGCAATTATTTTAATAAAGGGTCGTAAAGTTGATTTCTTGTGTCTTAAGAAACGTGTCTGGTTTTATTGCTAGCAATATTAAGTCGCGTGTTTCAATTGATCCTTGTTAACTCATTAATTGTTTTATTGCGTGTTTTTATAATAATAAGTCAAGATGCTCCCTTGGAGTTTTCACTGCACAGCTAATTTGTATGCAACGGTGGGCTTGTGAACTCGCATAATTACCTGACTAACGGCGTGTGAAACGCTGAGACTTCAGTAGTTTTTCATTTCCTCGAGATAGATAAGAGAAAAGTTCTTTCAAGAAACTACTATCCACTTCATTATATATGGAGGAAGGCACATAATTAGATGGAGGAAAGCATTTTTTCCCTAGGTTATAACAATGGGTGACGTCATGGACTCGACCCTTATGCATATTAATAAAGGGAACGCGAGGGAGCGCACCAACGAGGCTTAATTTCCACGTAGTATACTACTAACTTTTGAATTATTCAGCACAAGAAAATCCTTGATGTATTTTTTCCCTAGGGCTTTTAACATCAAGCTCGTCAATTCTTTTGTCCTTGTTTGACACTTAGATTGTGAATTGTCTTGCAAGACACAAAAACCTTTCTTTATTCTAAAAGAGAGCAGTAAGTTCCATAACATAAAATTACCTAGCTAAAAATCATGTTGAAATGTTTTGTTTCGGTTCGCAATCGATCGCACGCTTCATCAACATGAACGCGTCCTACTTCAACACGCATAGGTTGGAGAGTGAAGAAAAAAAATAAAAATGTTATTCACCGGCCTAGGTCGGTCAGTATTTGGAGAAACTGTGCCCTCGGTCTGAGTACCGCCCTCGGCCTACGGTCTCGGGAGGTACTCAAGACCTCGGGCACAGCTTCTCCCAATACGGACCTCCCAGCCAGTGTATAACATATATATACATATGTGTCATGGAAATTCAGGAAATTCAAATGGTTGTTCTTATATCTTCTCAGGATTTGCTTTATTTACGGAACTAATGTGAGTATGTCGCGGAGTTGAATCCCTCTGCAAGTTGCTGACCGCGAAAGAAGGTGCCTTTTGATACAAAAAAACGAGTGCAAATCAAAATATTGTCCATCTTAAAACTTGTTTCATTTAAAAGTTTAACCGAAAAAATTTTTTCGGGAAAATTTGGGTACTAAAAAAACAAGCAACGAAAGTAATTTTGGTTGGCTGATTCGGCAAAAGTCAATCAATCAAAAAAGTGGTGGGCGGTAGACATTTCGTAGAAGGTTTTTAACAGGCTGTCGTTTCGTTTCGCTTGCCCGCCGGAATGTTATTTACAAAGCGAAACGAAAATTGAGCCTGATCTCAGGTTAAAATCGTCCCTAATTGGCTCATCCATTTCGCCCTACACAATAAACCAATCACAAAATAAGATCAAAGATTCAACAAATTCAGATGACCTCTCAGGAAACATGCGCTTCAAATTGTCAATCTTTGATTGGTACATTTCGATCCTCTTCTCTTCGCATTCAATAGGGAGCCTTAACATGTAACATAAACGAACCATTTTTTAGCTACGCACGTTAATCGGAACTGAAAGCTTTTTCCTTTTAACAGGCATTAGCATTTCCAAATTTGTATTGCTAAATGTCTTTACACTTAGAAAAAACAACTTGCGCAAAATTACTTTTCACGAATGCCCAAACTCTACTTCCGGTTTCACTCAGTTTACTAAAAGCCCAAAACAAGTAATCCTCGCACACTGACTATTCGGCGTTCTGCAAATATACCCCTGGCAAAACATTGATTTGCCGTTCGCCCAAATTAAAAAAAATATGAATAAATAAACCCACAAATCACCGATTTTTGATTTTTCTTTTTGCTACGGTCTCGTCTCCGTGATCTCCTGGGTGATCTAACGGGGCGGTGATGAGTCACTACAAACCCCGAGTGAGCCAAAAATAATATTTCTTTATTCCTCAGATGAACTAAAAAACTAGAGCTGATCTCGAGACATCTCCAACAACTTCCGCCCCCACTTCGGCAACAAACTGCAAGTTTACGATATTCCTGAGCGTCACAAATCCTTTTAGTATTTCATGCTCCGCCTGAAATATTCCTTGAAGCCTAACGAACTCGAAGTGGTCTCGGGATATTTCGAACTCATTCCGGTGTCACTACGTCAAATAACCGAAACACACGGAAAAGGTACCAACTTGCGTGCCTAACCTTATCCCTTACCTAGTGCATAACTTATAGCTATTTTTCACATCTTAAATTACCTTGAGTCGCACTGGCGCAATCGATTAATCCCTCAAGTTAGGATCTCATCTGACCTGACGGGTCACACGTGAGCCGGTTCAAACCCTGGGCAAGCCAAAATAATGATTCTTTCTTCCACGAATAAATTAAAGAATAAACCAAAGAACTCGAAGCGATCTCGTGATATCCCGAAGTAATTCGGTTCTCACTTCGTCAATTAAACGATTCAGACCGAAGATCCAAGGACTTTGCTTGCCCAAAGCAACTTTCGGACATTCCTGAGCGTCGCGAATCCTTTACTTCGCGCCCCGCCGAAGTAATAGGCTGATTTAGCAACAGAACGGGAACGTCATTTGACGACGGGAAAGCGCGCGGTAAGGACTAAACTCGACTTCCGGTGCCCAGTATGCTGCTGTGCCATTGGTCAAGCCAGTTGTTTGATTTGCGCGCGCCGTCGTCAACTGACGTTCCCGTTCTGTTGCTAAATCAGCCTAATAAAGCTCTCAGGGTACTTGAGTTTCGTAAACATTGACTTAAGACGTTCACATTCAATGGTAACTCAAATACCCTGAGAGCCTTATTAATTCCACCATCTCTCACTTCGTCGCTTCGGTGAAGACTAAAGATTCGCTCCATATAAGGGAATCAAGGATAGTCTTGGATTCCGGATTCCAGGTACTGGATTTCGGTATTTGTCGGTAGAACTTGGATTCCGGATTCCAATCGTTAGTCGTATTCCGGATTACAAACCCAGGACTCCGGATTCCACAAACAAAATTTTCCCGCATTCCGGTTTCCCTTGCATGGGGCGAAAAGATAGCGAGCCAGCTCGATTGCCCAACGGAAATAACAGTCACCGAGTGATCTTGCCATTCAAAGATCAAAAGCCGGCCGATGAGGTGAAGAAACAACTCTCCCACCTGAGAAAAAAAAAATAGGCCACATCCTTTAATCAGTATTTGCGAGCCAAACAATTGTTAATGTTCTTAACATGAGTGACCCTAGACCACCCTTAATAAATCAACGATGAGCGGTGTTTAATTACCAATGTGATCTGTGCGATGCAAAGTATGTCGGCTACGCGAGCCGGCATTTACATCCATGCTTTTATAACGATGTCATGGCGACATCGGAATGTTGTATTAAACCTTTTTCGTTTATTTTTACGATTAAGTTACTTTGGTAATAAATTAGACCCTGTAATCTACGGCACATTTATGCCCAAATCCTCCAGAGAAGACAGAGGAGAGCCAGTGTTGTTTATTTTATTTTTTAGAACTTTTTTTTCAGAAAACTCTTTTTTTCAATGTTATCCTCTACTTTAATGCGTCCCGTTTTTATACCAGTCGACTTAACGACTCAGACGTGAAATAGGTCTAGATGATTTTAACGTCTCTACCATTATCTCTTTGTGTATTGAATTGTCCTGGTTTATTTTCCCTTAGAAATTTCTTTGTTTCTTATCGAATCTGACACTGTTACGAGCCCCCACATTTAAAATATTGGAATATTGGGGGGGGGGGGCGGTGAGAGGTGTGTTTGTACATCCAGTGTTCGAAAAAAAAAACGTTGTAAACGGCAAGACCTAGAATTAAATATTGAACGAAAAGAAAGATGGGGCTTTTTTTATTGCTAGGGTTTATATTCATCAACAATTATAATAATAACCCAGGGCATTTGACTAACGGTCTGGACGCTTTTAGCTTCGTTACACTAGTCGGATAAGTAATCAAATCAAATCAATCAACTTTATTTAAACACGGTAAATGGCTCAGCAAGCTGGTTTTCAGACATGCCGTGTGATAATTACAATTTATAAAACTTAAGACTAGTGATTAACTAACAATACAATATAACAGCAAGAAATGAGTATTAAAGAAATAAGATAAAAACATAATAAAAAGTTATATCCTAAGATATGTTGAGTTTAAAGCTAGTAAGATCCCCCATCTCACATGTTTCATTTAGTAAATATTTGGCACGATACTGGTTTGTTTTTCAGGGGTCTCTTGGTCCATCCAGGTTTAATGCGGCTAAGCTCTACAAGATCGCCCGTCTTTCTGGTCTCAACAACCCAATGACTACCAATGGTTTGTAACAAGAAACGAGTCATAATTGTTGCCCTTACCTTCGCTTCAGTTTGGATATACATGACTTTTGACTACTTCACAATCAGTTTGCATATTCAGCAACGCCCATCAGAGGTACAAAATGCGCCTACCAGTGCAAATACTACCCCTACAGTCATTATGGCCGCAGTAAAATATCAAACAGATATCAGTGAAACAGACGATTCAGATATGAACGAAACTTTCCATCAATTGATTGATTTCAAAGACTTGGGGAGGAATAAGAGAGCAGTATTGCTATTGATCATCGTTAGCACTGCACCAGCAAGATTTGAAAGAAGACAGGCAATAAGAGAAACATGGTGGAAACATTGTTCTGATGGCAATCAGGCTCAGGTAGGCAGGCAAGATAGGTTGTTTATAATTATCACCAGTTATCTCACGATGACGTTATTTTTAGTTATTCATAGCGAAATTTTCTACCGACGAAGACGATGCCGACGATGCGACGACGACGGCAACAAGCAAATATCAACAGCTTTAGATTAGAAAACATCAACTTTGCACGTGCATCACGCTTTGTTTTTTGTACTTTCATTATTGTTGTTCAATGACCTCGGCGTCAAATTCCTAATTTCACGTTTTACAGAGAGGACGTGAACAAAAGACACCGATTCTGAACTTGGATACAGTCCTTTTGGAATAAACCCTCAGAAACATTCGCCACAATTTGACAATTAAACGCGGTCGAATGGTAGTTAGCAGCAAAATGTTGAAAACAGAGCGAATTCTAGCAAAGTGACCTTTTCGTTCGGTCGCTCTTGTAGGTACAAATAGCTCCTCAATGAATCATTGGCGAAGGTGTCTAGGTTACAAGTAGAGAAAAGAGAATTTAAGGGTGAATGTCTGCAAAAATCTAACAAAATCGGAAAAATCGCGGCAACGGTCAAAAATCGATTTCGCTCCTTTTTTCTGTGCAGTAAGCCTTAGGTGTTTAATGAGATGAGACGAAGCTAGTTTTTGAACATATTCTTTTTAACAGCCACAAACAAAAAACCGTCTCGACCCAAAATATCAAAATTTCAATTTTTTTTAATCAATGAGGCTAACTGATGAACATGGGACTCATAGATTCTATGATGTCTCGAGATATTCTCAACCTCGTCCTCACGGTGCCTTTCCCTGGCTTTTGGATAAACTGAGATGGACACAAGCGATAGTCACTGCTGTCTCACATTTTTTGGTCCAAAATAGGGTCAGGATTTTGAGAATCGGACAGTACACCGCCACCAAGAATTTTCAGGAGTACCCCCCGGGAGACTTGAAGCCTGGTAGCAAGTTTACCTGTCAGCATCCACTTGCTAATTATCAGATGCTTTAACGATCTATGATCATTTCAACACCATCATTTTGGATTAAGAAATCGACGCAAGTTTTATGTTTGCCTGTAATCTGAATGAAACTAAAAATGGCCGTTTTGTCTCCACTACCCCGTGACTATACAGGGCCGAACACAGAAGGCAACGTTTTGAGGCAAGGGCGAGTACACCGTAAGCTTAGTCCACCTTAATGATAAATAGTAGTCAATCTTGCGAAGAATAGCTCATCAGAAGCCCATCAATCTCCCATACAACCCCTTGGGGTCAACACTATCTCGAGCAGATTTATCAACTGAATGGTCCGCAGCGAAGGCTTCGCACGCCGACATTATGATCCATTACCATTATTACCATCCTACTCATCATCGTCATCATTATTATCATCAACACCCTCATCATATACATTCCCCAAAAGTGATGATAGCAACGTTTCAGGTTAAAACTCCGTAGTTTTCAATTGCATTTTTGTCCTTAGTATTGTTAGGCCGTTTTTTACATGAGGAAACTTTTAAAGCTTGATTTTAGGTGACGTGACACGAGGAAACATCTCTTTTTCACAACCGTAGTGTTCCGCGCGTTTTTGCTTTTTGTTCCTTTAATTGCTTTAGGAACAACCTAGGAACGCACAAGAAAGGAACTTTCTTTGCACAATAGGAACAAAGGTCGGCAAATTTCGGAACAATCTGGTCCGTTAGCAGCAAATTGGAACACAAAGTTCCTTTTTATTCTAGTCAAAAGGAACAGCTGGTTCCTCTTTTATCCTTTCAGGAACAAAAGGTCCTCTTTCAACAGTTCCGATTTCCCTTCATGTTCCTTTCGAAGTGATTGGGAAACAAATGTTCCCAATCTAATTTCTCGCTCGACACAGTAAGGAACAAATTGTTCCTATTTACTGGCATATCTACTGCTGTTCGGAACGCCCTGTTCCCTTTCGGTTCAAATTGTACCTATTCATGTCCAACAGGAACGGAATTGTTCCTAATCGAGGTGGTTTTTTTGTTCCTCAAGAAGAGTTTTATGTTCCGCGTATAAATGGGAACAGGTTCCGAATCTGTGACCAAGGAACTAGCGTTCCATTTTGCGCAAAGTGTAAAAAGGAATAAGGAACAATAGTTCCTGTTAATCGTACGCTATATGAAACTACTGTCCATCACCTCCGCTATACAAATTTACCAAAACATATATCCGTCAACAATCAAGTTAAGTACGAGACTTGCCCGCTACATGTTTAATCTTGTTTGGGCTTGCCCGCGCAAGTTCAGGCTTGTGTCTTTGTTCCTTTTGATTAATTGTGTACCAAATACGGACAAGAAAACAATGGGGCAAGGGCAAGAATGACCAAGTGTGGGCAGACATGGACTAACAAATATCTCATTGATGTGAAGTATATGAAATAATTCATTTTTGAACTGCGGTTGTAGATGAAAGTGAAGAATGATCATCGCAGTAAATTTCCAATGATCTCTTGGGGACCCTTTTGCTAGTATAAGTGCATGCACACTTCAGAAAGATATCGATTTCAAGCTAATGCTTAAGATGAACAAACGAGGCAACGATGTCAACTGGTCAAGTTAACAAATGCATCGCCTAAACCAAAAAGACTTCACATAGAAGAGGATGACTCTGATGGTCTTTTTCACTACCCAGTGCAAATTTCTAACCACGATGGATTCACTACGCAAAGAGGCTGTAAAAAACACGTAAAGAACAAACACAGTTGGTACTATCACGTCGACGAGAAGCCAGACAGTGCTCAAATCGATACGCTTAATGTCGATGAAACCAACAAATGTAAAGCCAGTGATCAGAAGATTATACCACTTAAAAGCAGGGCAACTGCCTCTTTTGACCCTACAAACAACATTGCCAAGAACTTTTTTCGTGGCTAACTGACAGTGGTGGGGGCTGTAAAAGTTAACGACAAGCACAACAGATCGTAAGTAAGTGCTTAAAGTTTCTCAAGTTTTGTTGCAAAGACGAAGAGGAGCTGACATTTGACATTGTGGACTTAAGTTATGCTCACCGAATCTCCTTTTCAAGTTTGTTGATACGATGCGTGATGATTGGAATCTGGGACACGCGGGAGGCATAGGCTACTTGGATGCCATTGCAGAATTGGTGGATTATCGAAAAGTGAATGGAGCATCGGAATCAGTATTGAGAGGGCTGGCTTCAACAGAAGTTTACTAGAAAAAAGTGCGCAAAACCGTTTCCAAAATGATGCGCTTGCAGTGGACCAGCGAACTGGACATCGATGCCTTACAAGCCAAGGGGCACTGGGCCACACTAGAAGAACTGTTGGAAGTCGTGGGGCGCTACTTGACTCGCGGACTGAAATTGCCTGGCTACTGAAATCATGCAAGGAGAAACTGGGTGCTGGTCTGCCAATAGATTTATCTTTTGCCACCAAATTTTTGGCCGTCTATTTATTTATCAAGGTCAAGGGCTCGAGGCCCATGACATATCAGTACTTAACGGTGGAAATGGTGTACAAAGTCAAGACTAACGGTGGATTTATAGACCAGAAAATGTTCAAAATGGTTGGAAAACTTGGCTTCGATTCTCTTTACCTGGCTGAGACGAGCATGCAACTGTTGGATGGCTACATCAACCACAATCGCCCCCTACTCAGACCGACCTGCGACTTTGTTTTGGTGACAAGAAATGGAGAGCAGCACAATAAGCTGGGAGAGCTAATGAGTAAACTGCTCTTCGATGCAACGGGCAAATACGTTCACTCAACTCGCTATCGACAGATTGTGGAGACTGCGAGTTGCAGGCAGCTGTCAGGGGCACCCAACGACAATTTTCGGAAAATTATCTGTTCGGAAGACGATTTGAGATCTAGAATTTTCGGATCATTTTCTGTAAAATTTCTTGCTTGCCTGCTTCTCCTAGGATTTTCGAACATCAAAAAAAAGGTATAATTGCCCATTTTTAACGGATTTTTACCCTAAAAAGGTCACCTAGAATTTTCGGTAGCCTTTTTTCTGGCTGAAATTTTCGGAAAGGTAGATCTTGATCCCTATAATTTTCGGATCACTATACTTTCAGCTAGGAAATCCGAACAGATGAAAAATTTTTAGGGGATAAAAATAAGCCTTTATATACTGTTTAAATACTAAAGTACGTTCAACAATGCTATGTTTATGTGGTTTTGAACTATATTCTCGTTGGGTGCCTCTGAGCTGTGCAGCAGAGTGCAGAGCACAATCTCCGAGGACCAGAAACATAGCTCTGTTATTGTAAGGGTTCACTATCAGAAGCAGCGATCGCGCGAGGTGGCGAGCAAAGCACATGAACATTTGGAACGATTGCACGGGGAAAAGGGATCCAAGCAAAGAAATAGACGTAAGCTCGAGGCTTTCAGGCAATTCTGCGTCTTCTGAGGATCAAAATGGCAGCAAAACCGTTACTTCCCCTAACAACGAAGGAGAAACAATCACAGAAACACCACCCAATCGTCTTTCAGGTGTCCCGAGACTAAAGCGAGAAAATGCGTTTATATTGACAGATTTCCCGGCCAAAGCTGTTCACCAAAGCTGGTTGGCTAGAAATCCAGCCTTGGCTTGAAGAACTTGACACTTGACTTGTGAAATGCTCGCTATCGCTTTCCTCCCCGTTATCCTCTAGGTGTTTTTTTAATTTTCTTTGGCGCTTTCTTTGGCCCTTGTGTACCTATAGCACTAAAGAAAAATGCCACACTTTGTACTCCTGCAAAAAATGATGTCGAAATCAGGCCAGGTTTGCTTATTCAACCGATCGATTCGTAATAAGGATTCATAATTGACATTTCAATTCATTTTGAATACAAACCTTGCAATGCCTTGTCGCAAGCGTCTCGCGTCCTGCACACCTCGTTCCATCCTCTCTGTAGGCCTTCATCGATATTGCATCTACGCTTACAACTCGCTACACTACATTTGTCCACGACTATTGGACTTAAATTAAAAAGCACAAAGCAGCTCCTTTAATATTCTCACTGTTCAGTTGTCGACGAGGAAAATTTGCTCTTCGCTTGCTCATCGTGAAGCGAAAGCATGTCACTTCACTGTGAATAATTATATCAATGAAATTTTCCCAGTAGACAAATTCTGACACCCTTATCCATCGCTCAACCTTAGTCACACAGAGTTATTGCGTAATCCAAAATGGGATAATTGACAACTAAAGCTGAAGAGTATTTGACCTAAATTAGCGACTTGATCCCGTTTCCGTGAAATCCGCGAGATCTGCAAAATCCTATGACAGAAAAACCTTCTTTGTGATGAATTCCAGCCACTGAAATCCACATGAACTGCCAGTTTTACCCTAAAAAAATAGAAACAATAATAATAGTAATAATAATAATAATTATTATTATTATTATCATTATTATGATTGTTATTATATATCTTATCCGCCGTTTCCGTGAAATCCGTTGTATCCAGCCCAAAAACAGAGTTTCTTCTTTGATACCTTCATTAAAATTCTTATTTCCGTTAAGTCTAATAGAATACAACTCTGGTGTTCGTCAATGTCAATTATAACGTTATTCCGGTGGAAGGATTTTCCGGATTTGGCGGATTTAGTTGATTTTTTTCTCTATTTTACTCAATGTGGTTTAGAAACAGGAGAGTGATGTATGTGTTTGTTTTGATTTAACCCTCAAAGTTCTCATTGAACGATACAAGCAGTATCATGAAGTAAGATCGCCCTGGGTAAGCCCTTGTTTTCTGGTATAAATTTAAGGCTAAGATCTCTTCATACAGTCTAGGAACAAGCGTTCCTTTCAATGGCCATTCCTCTCACGAGGAACGCTTTCGCGGAAAAACGTACAGATTTATTTGCAGTTTTTAGCAAAAGATCTGAGAATGTGCTTTTTAGCTTTTTCCTGCATAAAACTACTAAGAGATATAGTTTTAGAAAGATCTTCGCAGTACTGAGTATTATTTTAAGGCTTCATAAAAAGGGAACTGAATTTACGGGAAACGATCATTATCATCATCTGATCATAATCATGAGCGGCAGCAGCAGAAGAAGAATCACCATCATCAGTACCATCTTTATTATCATCACATCAACATCTTCACCATTATCACTATCATCATCATCATAATCATTACAAGACCATTTTCATCATCATCAGCATCATCACCATCATCATCATCGTCGTCGTCGTCGTCGTCATCGTTATTACAACCGTTTGGAACAAAGCCATGTTGAAAAAGAGGTGGAGTATATGCCAGATTAGGTTGGACGCCATTGTTATTTTATTTCTCAACCTACAAAAGCGCTCCAGCTTAAAAAAAGGGCTAAATTTTAATATAAATAATATTAATAAAATTTCAATTGACTGCAATGATTGCGGCACAGTATATGTATTTTGGTTACTAAATTACATTTACAAGTTGTTGAACTTTCTAAAAACGCGAACATTAATTCACAGTAAGCAAAATCGCGAATCGCAAAAAAAAAGTATTCCCGCAAAATACTAGCTATCGAAACAATCGCCCATCCTCAAACAAAAAAGGAAGAAGGACACCTGATCTAAGGTTACCATTCACCAGAAATGAGTGCCAGTCAGCGTAGTGGAAAGGCTGGTATTCAGTGTTTGCACGAATACCCAATTTTTCACTTTTTATTTCAACTGCATGACTAAATAGCCTTCTGAACTAGGCTACACATGATACCTGTGATTTGCATAATCATACTTTCCCTGGACAGCCGTCCAGAAAAAAAATCTGGACCGGAAATTTTGGAAATTAGGAAGAGTTGTTTATCTGCCGATGGAAACTGACGTTGATGGAGACAATTTAAAAAGTTTAAATGGGCCGGGGTTTCGAGGGGTTGCCCAGGGTATGTTTAAGTATCGAGACCCTCGTTCGAGTTGATCGGCACCAGCCTCGACTTTAGAAATAGAAAGAGTACATGTTTATGTTATTATCAAACTGCTACCAATTTCTTTCACTCTGCACAGAACGCAAGAACTTTTATATGGTGATATTACTGAGTTTTGAAGTCGCGTTGACGTAAGTGCCTGCGTGGATAAGAATAAATACTGAGACTAATTAGAGGAAGCGAGTGTGACTCACGCAGTCGATTCCTTATTTTACAGTTATAGTCCAGAATGAAAGCAACGCTTTGAAAAACACACTATTTTATCTTACCTGTATCATTTAAGCAACACAATGACAACAAATCACTATATAAATGAGCCAAAATTGTCATTTATCTATCTCAAATCTATCGCGTGATGCCTTGTTGTTTGTGACCTAAATTTTAGGTCAGATTGAGATTTATCTGGAAATTCAGACGGTGCTCGCTCGAAACCTTTACGAGATCCCAGAAAAACAAAACTGTAACTTTTAAGGACTCTATTTTAGGAATTTATGGTAGCAATCTCAACGATCTTCAGGCACTACCACATGCCTTTCTATCGCGATGATTTAACCCTACTTTTGCATGTCCTTGAAGGGCTGTAAATGTTTTCTTCAAATTTCGAGTTTATTTCTTACACAAATAACCCGAGACGAAAACTATCCATTTGTCTTAGTAAAACAAGGCCCCTACTGAATAGTTATCGTGAAAGAAGACTGGCTGCTATGGCTTAGATCGAACACGATCATTTTGAACATAGTGAAATTTTTAGCTGGCGCGTATCCAAATACGGCTAATTATTTTTAACGGTTTATTTCAAAAGAAAAGAGTATTTCAAAAAACTAGTTCTATTTTACTGAAGGTAGTACATTAGCCTTTCCATGGACGAAAAATGAGCCAAATCGATTTTTTGACTGTGGCCACGAATTTTCGATTTTTGTTTCATTTTTACTGACATTCACTATTAATCTGGTGGGTCTGCTTCTCCTGAAAACATCTTGTTCCATCATTTCATCATTTTCGTTTCCTGTTTTTATCTCACGTATTTTATGGAACATTAGCCTGTTTCAGGCTCCGAGATAGTCGGGTCCACTGAACTGAGAAAGCGCGAACATGAAAATAAAACGGGAGGAAACTGGGAGAGGAGGGGCTATCCCTTCCTTTTAGGCAGGTACAAAAGTCGGACCGGATCAATTCGGACCGCCAGTCCGGGTCGGATCAACTCGGATCGACTCGGACCAACTCGGATCGAATAAAAAATTGAAAATAAAATAAAACTGTACTCGGATCAACTCGGAGCAATCAAAAAAATTAAATCAGCAAAACTGAAAGTTTAACCCATTTGGAGGGTCAAAAAAGGCCAGATCATCCTTGGCTTTCAGGCGCCATTTTGTTTTACTAGGGCCAGTTCCTCTCGGATCATGTTATAAGCTCGTGGTTGTGGTTGGACAGTAAAGAAATGATAGTTTCAGTCGCCTAGAATGTATATATTTTCTTATTTATTAGACTAATGAATTATTTATGACAAAATCATCAAAAGCCTTGTCTGTTGATCGCATTTAGATAGTTACCGAAGAGTGTTTGTTTGTTTGTTCCTGTTTTTTTTTTTTTTTTCTGCACGACTTCTGAAACTTAATTTCAATGATACACTAGTGAGCAGCACACATACATTTCCAGTGAAAAATTTCAACTTGGAAGGAGGAGAAACCATGCTCGCCCAGGACAAAGGAAATTTCCATGCCCAGGGCAAGAATCGAACTCGCGACCCTCCGGTTCAGTGGTTGGAACGTCCGATTTTCATGTAGTATTCGGAGGGTCGTGAGCTCAATTCTCGCCTTGGGTACGAAAATTTTCTTTGTCCCGGGCGAGCATGGTTTCTCCTCCTTCCAAGTTGAAAATGTTCACTGGAAGTGTATTATGCTGCTCACTAGTGTATCATTAAAATTAACAAAAATAAAAATAAAATTAATTTACGCAACCACGAGTTCGTGAAAAAAAAAACAAAATGGCGGGTGAAAGTTGAGAGATACCGACTGATTTTATTTTTCTTTTTATAATGCGAGTTGTTTTTTTTTTTATGATCCGAATTGATCCGATTCCAGTTTTATTTTATTTTTATTTTTTTATTCGATCCGAGTTGGTCCGAGTCGATCCGAGTTGATCCGACCCGGACTGGCGGTCCGAGTTGATCCGGTCCGACTTTTGTAACTGCCTCTTCCTTTTTCTTTTTCCCGCTCCGCCAACTCTTCGCATGCCTTTCAGTTTCTTGTCTTCGCCACTATCTGAGACCCTGGAACAGGCTAATGGTATATGTGTGAAAATCTTCATTACGAATCGGTATAGTATATTTCAAAGAGCTACTCAACGAGCAAGATAACTATTGACTGACAACATACAGATCAGGGGCACCCGCAGTGTCAACTATTACTAGTACTACTCTAGAGAACTGTTTCTCTTAAATTTCGTCTTATTCTCGTCCTTATGTATATATAAGTTTAATAAGTTTAAGTTTAAACTTCTACTAGGAAAACAAAACACACAAGCTAAAGAGGTCTATTAACGGGCCCGAAAAGCTGTTGTCGTTTACATTAAAGCTCGAAGTTTCAGTAAGTTTACAAATAACATGATAAAACTATCAGTATATAATTTGAATATTTGATTTGATTTCGGGCCCGCAAAGTTACGGGGACTTTCGAGAAATGGGCCCCGGCATAGCCCCTTGGCGTTCTCGGCTCGGTCAATCCTGGGCCGGGTTGTTCCAACCTCGTCCCCAGAGCGCTTTTCCCTGGCTTTGGAGGTGGGGCGGGAAAAGGCCCTGGCATTGGCCGGCCAATCCGTCATTTTTATTGGTTGATTGATTTAGGTAATTCATGTAAGAAAATGGCAAAATGAAAATAATTTATGCATTACACCGAGATCGAAATGGCGGAAAGTATGTCCACTACAACGAAGATTTTTGAAAGAAATCCAGCGGTTGTTCTCATGAGAGTCGCTACATACTTTGAATATTCAGCAAGGACGGCTTGTCTAAAGATCTGTATTCAAAAGTTTATAAAACCTGTCGTATAAGAATTTCTGAGGGCAATACGAGGTCAGCAGTGTTATGTACGAGTGGGCTTACAATCGTAGACAAGATGGACCAGTTTTTTCGGAGGACTCAAAGCAATCTGTAGACATAACGCCTGATCTAAGCTCAGAATATTCTGTAAAGCGGTGCGTTGAACTTTCACCGTTTTCGTATCAACCGTCGAAGCGTCTATCAAAGGATATGTCACTCGAAAGCTTCGATGTGGATGAACCGCAATAAAAGGGGGTGATAGGCCAACACGACTTTCACTTCATGCCAAAATGATGCTTGTTATCATAAGTTATTTTTCTCTGCTGGGTAGATTATGCTCTGGAAGGTTTTACATTTTCACTGAGCAAATGTGATTTTAACCGCTTGTTTCACACTGAGAGGTCATGGCACACACTTCGATTTACCGTGGTTTTTGTTTCTGGTCGGCAGGATTTGCCCTCTGATGCAAGAGCAGTTTCTTTGACCTCTTTTCAAGCGTAAAGCTTTTTATTACGGTTGAGGGTTTTAATTTTCTCCAAAGTGCCTTTTGGAGCTGAATAACTAAGCGATTTTCTTTAGTCCCTGAATGTTGTTTTTCTGCAGTGTTGTATCACGCTGGTCCCAGGTTGTTAGTTTTCTTATTAGCTTTCCAGGGTGTTAAATTATAACGGATAGTGATTTACAGGTCCAAATTTGGATTGTTTTGTTATTGCCACTTTGTGATCAGGCAAGACCATGGTTTTGGTTCGCCACGCGAACCTCATTGGTTTCCGGGTTGGCTTCGTGCTTAGTTGCTTGTACAATTAGAATAACTTTAGTTGTTCTTTATCGTGGCGAGAACGGTACAGCCGTGAAATAGTATCGACTTGCCAGATCCAGTTGGGAAGACTCCAATAACATCCTAGCCTTTCAGGATAGATTCGAAACACTTTAAAGTTTAGAGGTTTAAAATTAAGTGATGGAAAGTTACCGTTTCAGGGAAAATCCGACCCGGCGAAGCACCGATAAAAACTCTGGTCTAACTCCATCTTCGATGTTTTATTTATCGTATACGATCGTATGCTAATTTAGTACAGGGCCTTTTCCCGCCCCAACCCCAAAGCCAGGAAAAAAGCGCCCTGGGGACAAGGTTGGGGTTGTTCAAAGCAGGGTTAAGATAACTCAGGGTTAGGCGAAATATAAATTCAGATCTTAAAACTTAAAAAGCAAATTCAGTTTATTTCTTTTTGCTTGCAATGTAATGAATTGATGGTCTATCAAGAATAGTGAAAATTGTCCGGGAAAATGCTTTTGAGCAAAAGAATAAGAAACCAAGATTAAACTTTAATCCTGAGTTAGCGCTAATCGGCTTTCGACCAACTGGGTCTTGGACTCTACCGTGAACTGTGACGTCACCGAGAGAGACTCTCCCGTTCTTTCCCAGACTTCGCGCGGACAACGGGCAAGATAGAACGCCTAGGGACTAGGCTGGAGTCCCAGGGCTTTTCTCTTGGACTGTGGGAGTGTTCCATCCAAGATTTACATGAGAAAGGCCCTGAGGATGGCTCACACGACAGCCGGGACATAAGGGGCAGTTCTAACCTCGTGGGTATAACTTGAATTTCTCTTTCTTCAGGTTGAATGTGTCTTCATGACTGATGGACTCATAACAAACCGAACTCAACGTAACCTTATATTAAACGAAAAGGGTAAATACAAGGATGTTAAGCTTCAGCGTCTCAAAGGAGGCCGTGAGTTTGGATTCCGCTTCCTTAACCAAATCAAATGGGCAGCGGCGAAATTTAACTTTCAGTACCTACTTAGAATCGATGATGACTACTTCCTGTGTTTAAAAAGGCTTCTTTCTGAGCTTCCATTGAGGCCGAAACAAACTCTAGTCTGGGGATTTTTCCACTGTGAAGCAGGAATCACATGGATGGATGAAGCATTTATGATATTCTCTGAAGATATCATTCAAACGTTCTTGGCGCAGAACGAAGGCTCGATGTTGTGTCATCCACATGCGGACCAACAAATCATGTTGTGGCTGAGCAATATTCTACAAAAAACATACTTCCACGATACTAGGTTACATCATGCGCCTCCAGCGTCAGTTGTTGCTCAATTTAGTAACATCTCGAATGTTTGTGACTCCTATTTGGGCGCGCATGGAGCATACGTTAAGACCATGTATTATCTCGGGCTGAGGGCTAATGACAGCGCCAAAGAGTTTTCAACTATTCCTGATTTTGCAAGATTTTGTACCACAAAGTTTGATCATCGTGTATTTAATCCTGAGTGGCGATATGAGCCCAAGCCCTGCAAAGATAACCCAACATGGAACTTGGGAAATGAAATGTGGTTTGGTAAAGAAGCTGGTCAAGGAAGGTAACCTGAAATTAATTTTTTAGAAAAAATAAAAACGATAGAAGGCCGTGTTTTAGAGGATGTCAAGGAATGGAA